TTTTCTTCTCTGTTTCCTAGAAAACAAAAACGCAGCCTTCGGTGAAATATCCTCGATGAAAAATTGCTCCTACTGTAACTCCCTAACAGGACTAATGGCTATTTTTTTTTAAAGTCTACTAACATTTACTGAGAATCTACTATGTGAAATGTACTATGCCAGATGATACAAATACCAATGTAAATAAGAAATACCAACATAAATAAGACATACTCCATGATTTTTTTCTAAGCAATATGAAATCTACAAATAGTACAAAAAGGGGAAATGTGTACTAAATTTCCTAAATTTAGTTCACTAAATTTAGTGAACTAAAGTGTTCACTTTTTGAGAACTGTATTCCTGTACTAAAGACAGAAAAAGTAGAATTATATTGTACCCCCAAATATTCCATTTTATAGCATCCATCTGTTTTCAACCATCCTATATATAATAAAACTCTAATATGCAAATATACTGAAGGGTGGAATGACCGGAGGAACGACTGGTCACTATGACGTGCACTGACCACCAGGGGGTAGATGCTCAATGCAGGAGCTGTCCCCTGGCCCCAGGCCCAGGCCAGCCAAGGCAGCTGCCAGAGGGCGCCCCTCCCTCGCATCACCCCGCCAGTTGCCCCACAGATCGGCCCTAATTGCCAGCCAGGCCTAGGAAACCTACCCATGCACAAATTTCATGCACCGGGCCTCTAGTTGCTATATAAATGTTGTTTGGGTGGAAGTGCAGCTATTAAATGACCTGGCCCAACACACAAGAGTGTATCACTTCTGTCAACAGTGTCTGGTGTGTGTGTCTCAGTGGGAAGAGGGCGGGCAGCTGCCTCATAGCACTCATCAAGAAGCAGGTAGCAGGAACTCTAAGCCAGCAGGGCCCTGTGGGCACAAAGAGAAATACAAGAGCAGATTCCTGTCCCCAGGGAACTCCCAGACCAGGGGAAAGGACTAACCCTGCAGCATGCAACACTGACCCATCCATGTTGGGACAGAGAGAAGCGTGCATGGCCATGAGATGGACTACATATTCTCATTAAATATTTAAGGATGAATGCTGTATCCCTGGGTACTGCCCTGACACAGCTTAAGAAAAACAGGCAGAAAATAAAGGCCAAACTACTTAGAGGTGATTTTTAAAGTGTAGTATTGGGAAAGGTATGGGGAGGGCAATGTTCATGATGACTCGTGAGAACAGTCCCCTGTTGTTTACCAGTTGTTACGTGTACTCACAAGGTGGCAAGTGTCAGGGTTGACAGCTAGGACCCTGAGGCCAGCCAGCCTGGTTTCAAATTCAGACTCCACCACCTCCCCACTCCGTGCCTCAGTTTCCTCATCTCTGGTGTGAGGGTAGTAACATACCTTCTCAGAGGGTTATTATGATGAATGAATAAATTGGTGTAGGGAGCCCTAACCGGTTTGACTCAGTGGTTAGAGCGTCGGCCTATGGACTGAAAGGTCCCAGGTTCAATTCCGGTCGAGGGCATGTACCTTAGTTGCGGGTACATCCCAAGTAGGAGGTGTGCAGGAGGCAGCTGATCAATGTTTCTCTCTCATTGATGTTTCTAACTCTCTATCCCTCTCCTTTCCTCTCTGTAAAAAATCACTAAAATATATTTTTAAAAATTAGTGTAGGGAAAGCTCTTAAAATAGTGCCTGACACAAAACACATGCTTATAAGAGTCTGTTACATTAAATAAAGGCCCTATTCACTTTATGTAATACATACCTCAAGTTTTTACCTACATGGAATACTACATATATAAAACCAAGATAAGAATCTCAGATATAGCTTCTCCCTTCATAAGATGTTCCATGTTGTCAGTTCATATTTTCTCTGTGACAAGGAGCTATACTGGGTTTGCCAATACTCCTGAATACTCCCAATTGGTCTATAGAGTTAAATGCTATACAAATCAAAATCCCACCCGGCAATTTTGGGAGCAATAACAAGCTGATTTTAAAATGTATATGGAAAATCAAAAAAGTGAAATAGCCAAAATTATCTTTGACAAAGAGAATTTGGATGATTCACATGACCTGATTTCAAGGCTTACTATGTAAGACACACACACACACACACACACACACACACAGAGCTTTTTGTTTTTGTTTGTGCTTAATTCTACTGAGGTGCTCTTCCTTACCTCTTGTTGGTAACACTCATTATTCTCTTTTTTGTTGTTGTTAACCCTCACTCAAGAATATTTTTCCATTGATTTTTAAAAAGACTGGAAAGGAGGGGGAGAGACAGAAACAATGTGAGAGAAACACATGGATTGGTTACCTCTCGCATGTGTATGATAATTTATTTCCACCCAGCTTCTGATGCCAGCTCACAGCCAAATTATAAAGCTAGTGTTGATAAAGAATCACACCACCTGTAGCTTAAAATCTATCACACAGATGCACTGGGATATTTAGGTACTTTGCCCCAAGAAAGCAGCCAGGTATTAGTAGCTATGCTTCCCCCTATTTCAGTCATTAATGTAGATATAATCTCCAAATACCTGTCTCCCAAGCAAAATGAAAAGAATGCTGTTCGTCACCTGATGGAGAAAGATGTAGTGGCTTGAAATCCCTGGGGGATAAAAGAATTGTTCGTGCAAAGTATCCCTTTAAGCAAACTAAGAATAAAAGCAGACTTGCAGATGCTATCACGAAGTTAATGGAAATGGGGTGGGGGCTATACAAGCAAGACCATTTACCCAGCCCTTAGTTCCAGCCTCAAGGGTGGATTAGTGTATACCATGAGTTTCATAAACATAGAGAAGTTGGGTCAAATACTAATGAATTCACATTTGTTAAGTAATGAGAAAGTACGTCGAGAGCTATCCTTTCACCCTCAATTTTAGGAGAGACCCAACCAACCAGAACAAGAGAGGAAGGGTTGTTGTAATCTCATGATCTGAATTTTCTGATGGGTTAGGGCTTGAGCACAAATGTTTTGTCCATGAGATTTCCACAATGTATCATGCCACCTGTTGCCCTGTGCACAGGAGAATCCTGCTACTAACAACACACCTGAGGTGTAACCGGTGCTGGCAAACACCGTGTACTCTGACTTCTCACCTTAGCACGGTGCAGTTAGACGTGTAGGCCTCCCATTTCAACTGATGCGGAAGCTGAGGCACAAGGAGATTAATGCATGGAATGAATACAATCCCAGAGGACTCAGAGCCTTTCATCACTTCCTTAAAATTATTCTGAGCTTGAATGATGCCATAATTCTCCTGGATGGCGAAGGTACGAGACCGGGTAGGATTCTGTTTTGATTCTGGGCCTGGAATTTTGGATACATTTCTGGCATTAGACTACTTCATTGTCACTCATCTCCAAGTCTCAGAAGCAGAAAGGTAGGGGTTAACTACAAGTACCAGGCCGTCCAGTGTCTATTTTAATGGTTTCTTAAAATACAGTAGCTGCCCCTATTGCTGTACTTGTGGTGAAAACCCAGTGCCTGGCAAATGAATGACAGTGTTCTGATCACATCCTAATTGTTACCTGGCAGCATCAAAAACCGATCAGTCTCATGAAAGCAATAATCTTATTGGATAAGCTGAGGGTCCCCCCAAATTCCGCTGCTTCGATGGATCCCTCATTGAACACTCCTACCACATACAAAATTGATTCTTTTCCCTTTACAAATTTTCTCTTTTCATAAACTTTGTAATGGCAAAAATGACCCCCAGTTCGAGAGAATTCTTTCTTATTATTGACCATGCGAGTCAAAGGGCTTGGTTTTTAATTCAGTTCCCTTTAAACAGCTGGTGCCTGCTGAGACCCAATCATCCTGCTGTCACGGGATCTTAATAGCATTTTCACACCACGGCTGGCCACCTGCTCTTAGAGCCATCTCATCCTTTCTTGGGGCATCAAGTCACACAACCATTTCTTAAAAATAAACATCCATACTCTACTGTGAAAATGGAAGTGAAAAAAAGAACACATTGAAAGAGGACAGAAAGACTTCATGCCTGTGTTCATTTTCAATGATGAAAACTGCTATAGAAAAATGCAGTATAACAGTAGGCAGGTGTATAAAATACTGGAAACTCCAACAATAAAACATCTCTATCAGTAAGTGGGTTTATTGACGTAACTGAACATAACAATGGATAGCATTTATTCATTTCCCACTGAAAGACCTTCCAGTGAAACTGTTTGTACACAGATCCAGGCATTAAGCATGTTCAGTGATGTTCTGCTGTTAACAGGGTGGGTCGTGAGAAAACTAGAGGTCCTTTGCATACTTTCCATGGGAATCAGCACTACAGGCTGTGCCAAAGCAGCAGCTAAGAGATGTAACTGCTCGATGAATGAAAAAAGCTGGGAGCAGAAAAGGTGCAGGACAGCCCAGGGGTTGCCAGGAAAAGCCAACAACTGCACCTCTTCCCGGTGCCAGCAAGCTCAGAGTCGGAAATAAGCTCTGGCAGCAAACTCAGAATGACAGTCTATTTCCTGTGGTTTATTAAGTTTTGGCCCCACAGATAAGACTGCCAGGAAAGCAGCTGTACTTTAAGTGGTCTGGACATTGATTCATCTGAACATAAACAAAGATCAGTTCATTTAGATCCCTGGGTCTCTGCTCAGCGGTGGGGACAAGGGCAGGCCTGGCTCGGTGGAGGCCACACATTAAAGGAGTGGAGAGGGGCAGGGAGGTGAAGGACCCCTGGACTGTGATCGATTCCCTGAGTCATTAGGACCCTCAGGGGCTTAAGGCCCTCAACAGAGGATGCACTGTTAGCCTTAGCACCAATGCCATGGGCTCCACAACACCCCACTGCCCATGAACCATAACCACAGTGAATGTAACCAGGCCCACCTTCTTAGTGACGACACTTGTAGACCACACACGCAATCATTCATGTAAACCGAAGCACTACATGTAGTGATAAACATGTCCTTCATAAATATCAGGGAACGAAAGTATCTCAAACAGTTGAAAACAAATAAAGGAGCCTAACCCTAAGTTTAACACAAAAGCATGGAAAAGAAAGACTGCAATTATCAACTACAAGATAAGATTTAATAACACAGTAAAACACAGGGTCATGGAGGGACTAACTTGCAAAAAGAATTATTTCACAGTGAGGTTTAAGTACTCGTAACAATCTTCTGGTTTTCGTAGAAAAACCACCACCGATGTCCATTTTTTTCACATTTTCCCAATAATTTCTTCCCTTCTACTATTTCCCGTAGAGTAAGACATTAATGCGACCAAACATACACAATCACCTTTTGCTCCCCTATTAGGAAATGTCCTTTAACACTTAACTGTGCAACTCAGGGCCAGTAGGACACGGTCAATTGCATGTCATGGATAAAAACATGAGAAGTAGCACATGGCATTTTCCCCAACCCACACACACTGTCAGCGATGTGGTAAGCAAACTAGAACACTGGCCTTCCCTACGGGGCCACCTGTGACCTACGCATTACATTCGTTGATCAAGTCTGGCATTGACATTTCCTCTCCCATCTATGGGTTTAAAAAAATAAAATTAAAAAAGCCACAGGAGCAACCCTGACGGAGAAGTCTTGGACGCAGCCTTCTCCAGAGAAAGTGTGTCATCTCAGTTAACCCCAAGGTCAGCGAACCTTCTTGTGATGTTCACGTTAAAAAAAAGAAAACTGTTGAGCCACCTGGCTCATCTAAAATAGTCCTTGAGTTTGTCAGTTTGTTAAATGTCAGAGCTCTTCACATTGTTGAAAAAAAAAAAAGTAGCGTCTCTGATTATTTAAAGGTCAAGTTATCCACCATCAAGGAGTTCCCCCTGGGTGAGTGTGTTAAACTTTACCACCTGCTGACACCATCCTTCTTGGCACAAACCTCCAGACCAGTGGTGGTCCTGCCAAGCCTCCTTTGTCATGGTAATAAGTTCCTTTTTTCTTAAATAGAACACAAAACACCTCTTTCTGACACTGAACAAGTAAAAAAGTATTTAGTCTCCAAATCTCCAAATCTGGCCATGCTGGGGGCACAAGCCCCCTTTCCTACCCCCAAGGGGGTGAGACTATTGTACTGCCATGCCACCAAAACCAGTCTCATAGCTGCGCCACGGTCTCCGTGTAAAGAGGGCCTCCCACCTCTGTACCCCACTATCCATGCGTCCCCTACTCTTGGTCTTGACCACCAAGTACCACCCATTTATTTTATGAGTATTGGGAATTGGGGGGCAGGGGAGCAGTGCTGAATTGGCCTCTTTGGCCTCTCTGGCCAAATGCACAAAAGGAGACGGTCTGATGGAATGAGATCTTCCCCTGAGGTGGGTTGAAGGGCGCCAAAGAGAGAGGGCTCCTCAAGGCCAATGAGATGGTCTCCACAACCTGGAGGCCCTGGATCTAGTCGGCAAATCGCTGCAGGAGATGGTCCTCCCGCCTCAGGCTGCCGCCCGCGCCGCTGCCCGCGCTGTCCATGAAGCGGTCGCAGGGGAACTCGATGAGGTCCGCCTCGCTGAGCGCGCACACGGTGGTGCGCGGCCGGTGCGACTGGAACCCGGAGAAGTCGGCGGACACGCCGGTGCCCATGGAGCGCAGGGGCCGCCGGGTGGAGTACATGTGGCGAACGTGGACGGGGGCCCCGCCCTTTCTCCTGGCCCGCAGCTTTCTGCGCAGCCAGCGCGACGCCCAGGCCGCCAAGGCCAGCAGCACGAGCAGCGCGTTGACGGCCAGCAGGGCCAAGGTCAGCAGCTGGTAGTCGACGCCGCTCCGGCCCCCAGGCTCCGGCAGGGTGACCAGCCCGGCGCAGTGGTCCCGGGGGGCCACCGGGCAGACCCGGCCGCCCAGCACGCCCTCCACACACACCAGATAGGGGGTGTCCCCGCGCAGCTCGCGCAACGTGGCCGAGTCGCTGCGCTCGGGCAGGTAGACGAAGCGGTGGAACTTGGGCTGCTGGCCGAAGCGGTCGAAGAGCAGGCGGAAGCGTGCGCCGCCCAGCGGCCGGGGGCTGCGGTGCTCGCGCACCGCCCAGCGCACCGACGCGCTGTCGGCCCCCACCGCCTCCACCGTCAGGTTGCACAGGATGAGCTTGTTGAAGTCGCACGGGTCGGACACCAGCGGCGGCAGGACGGCCCCGCCGTCGGCCTGGGCGGCGCTCTCCTGCTGCTGCGGGAAGAGGCGCTGCTGCGCGGCGCGCTGCCAGAGGTCGCCGGCGGGCGGCGGCGCAGAGGCTTCCGTGCCGGGTAGGGTGGGCTCCGCGTGGGCTGGATCGGCCGGCGACGGGCGTCCCCCCTGGGGCTTCTCCTGCAGGTCCAGGGGGTGTGGCGCCGGGCCCGCCACAGCAGCGGCGGAGGGGCCCGGCTGCTGGAGGCCTGGACCCCATGGGCTCAGCCTCAGGGCGCTGCGGTTGCCCAAGAGCTCCCCATCCCAGGGCGCCCCGGGCGGTAATCTCTCCCGCTGCTGTGGCTGCAGCTGCGGTTGTGGCGGCAGCTCCTTCGCGAGGCCACCGGCAGGGGGCGCCATCTTCTCCCTCGTGGCTGTGGGAAAGGGCCGCCGCTTGGCATCGCCGGTCGGGGAAACCGAGGGAGAGGGATCGGCGCAAGACCCGTTCTGCAGTTGCTGGTCGTCCAGGTAATCCAGATACTTGCCCCGCAGGGCCGGGGGGTGGCGGCACTGCACAAAGACGGTGAGAAGCCGGCCTTGCGAGTGCCAGTTGCCCATCCAGCGCTTCAGGCCCCGCAGCCGGCAGTCGCAGGTCCAGCCGTTGCCGTCTAGGTCCAGCCTGTAGAGGGCCGGGCTGGCGGCGAAGATGTCCCCCGAGAGGGCGCTGAGCGCGTTGTCGCGTAGGCTGAGTTCGCGCAGCCGGCCCAGGTGGGCAAAGGTAGTGGGGTGCAGGGCGGACAGCTCGTTGCCGCTCAGGTCCAGCGCCTCCAGGCTGTGCAGAGGTTCCAGCAGCGCCGCGGGCAGCTGGCTCAACCGATTCCTCTCCAGGCGCAGCTCCCGCAGGGCCCCCAGCCCCCAAAAGGCCTCTGGTGCGAGGTTCGCGAGCTGGTTGCCCCTGAGGGAGAGCAGGCCGAGGCGGGGCAGGTGCTGGAAGACGCGGGGCCCCAGGTGCTGCAGGCTGTTGGCCGAGAGGATGAGGGTGGAGAGGGAGCGCAGCGGGGCGAAGGTGGCCGCATGGCGCAGCGAGGGCTGCAGCTCGTTGGCAGAAAGGTTGAGAAAGCGCAGCTTGCCCAGCTGGGCAAAGGCGTTCTTGCCCAGAAAGCGGATCCGGTTGGACTCCAGATGTAGGTAGAGCAAGTTGCCCAAAGGGGCGAAGACCGCGTCCGGCAGCGCCCCCAGGGCGTTCCCGTCCAGCCGCAGCTTGACCAGACTCTCCAGGCCCTCGAAGGAGCCTCGACTCAGGCGGCTGATCTCGTTCCCGTTGGCGTAGAGGATGCGCAGTTTGCGCAGCGGGGCCAGTGTGCCCGGGGCGAGCGCCTGCAGGAGGTTGTTCCCCAGGTACAGCTCCTCCAGTCGTGAGAGCTTTTCGAACGTCTTGGGGTGTAGAGAGCGGATCTGGTTGTACTGCAGGTCCAGCCGTCTGAGCTGCCCCAGGCGGTGGAAGTCGAAGGCCGTGATGTTGGTTATGAAGTTGCCGCCTAGGCTGTAGGTGAGCACGTCCTGCGGGCTCGGCAGCGAGCTGGTCTTGGGCACGGCGCGGAGCCCCCTGTTGGTGCACAGGAGGTGCTTGGGGGTGCTGGCAGTCGCAGCCGCTCCCGGGCACACGGCCTGGGCCCAGGGCGGGGAGCCGGAGGCAGCCGCACAACCACGAGCAGAAAGCGCACGGGGGGGGCAGCCTCCCATTGCCGCCCCGCCCTGCTGGCAGCTGCCGGATCGGCCTTCTTGGCCCCGCGG